AAAGGATTAGGATGGGTGAGCTTTTCAGAGTCTCATTTAAAGTGAGCTCTGGTCTCCTGTCTGTCAAAGCCAAATGATTGCCACAACCTGATCAAGAGCCAGAGATGTAGGAACAGCTGTGAGCAGTGTTAGGTTTCTTAGTCTACAGTCACGTGACGGCTTTAGGAAACCAAGGGAAGGCCGAGAAGGTTGAATTCCAACTGCATTATTAAGAGTATCCTGGTAATTAGGCATTATGAAAGGGTCCCCCAGGGTCCAAATCATTGGAGCACCCTGGAGCCTGCTAACAAAGTAAAACTCTACAGAGCTTTCCAGAGCTTTCTGGCTGGTGTCGGCCTGTCCTGGTGTGCTGTCTGTGCTTGGCTCATGTCTCTGCAGCTTGCCCATTGAGCACCTGGGTGAGTGGTGCCAGTGGTTCCGGGCCTTCCCTGAAGAGTAGACTTGGTCATTCCAGCCACCCTCTGTCTGCCCCTCCGCTTTGTCGTGGTTGCTCTCTGGACCCTCACATCTTGAAATTAAGTCACATGGGTATCTTTTAGGAGCCCTGCTTTCTCCCATTCATTACTGGGTCATCTCAGTGTGGCATGTCACAGAGGAACATGCCTGTTTTGCAGAAGTTTGAAAGCAAGAGAGAAGAGAAGTTAGTTGCTCCCTTCCTGTAGGTAGCCCGGCCACAGGCTTCCTGGAAGAAGGAGCCAAGGTGTGGTCCCTCTGCTCTGAGGTGGCCATTGAGAACCTGGGTTCTGGTTCCTGGGCTCCAGAGACGACTGCCCAAACTTTGTTTTGTGTCCTTGGCCTTCCTGGTCTGGCCTTTGAACTTTGTATTTCTGTGGCAAGAAACCAATGGCCCTTGTAGACGCGGTGTCCAACAGGGCTGCCCTGTGGCCTGTTGATTAAGGGAGCCAGATTCCATATGGCTGACTGCACAGCTCAGGTCCCTAGCCCCGCAGCTCCAAAAGCAAGCCAGCTGCATGTGTGTGCCCTAAGTCTGGGCAGGATGGAAAAATGGGGAAGGGACTGCTGCATGGCCCCTTCTGTTGGAGGGGGTGACTTCCCCCTCCCCTCTCTCTCTGGTGAGCACATGATCTCTCTGGCAGTGATTTTAAGAAAAGAAATGGGGAACCAGCAGTTAGCGTAATGGCTATGTCACTGGACTCCCATGTAGTTGATTGCGATTCGAGTCCCTGACCTGGTGGCTTAAAGTCACGCCGGGCGGGTGTGCATGCATGCCCAATATCCCAAGAGGAAAATGGAGGGGAAGCGATTGCCGCATGGCTATCCCCCCTAGGGGGTGATTTCTCGCCTTCTGTCTCTCTTTCTCTCTCTGTCTCTCTTTCTCTCTCTGTCTGGCGAGCACATGCGCCCTATAGCAAAACAAAACAAAACAAAACAAAAAAACAACCACCAAAAAAAAAAGAGAAGGTGCCTAATTCAAACACCGAGGGTGGGAAGGCTTCTAGAAATGCAGCAGGCAGCTAGCAGAGTGGAATCCTGGAGTGCCTGGCCTTCCCCGCTGGAAAGCAGGGCCCCGACATGATGCCGTTGCCATGGGCGTTAGAGCGTCCTGGAAGGACAGTGCGTTACTTGTTAGGCGCGCAGCGTGTGAAGTGTGACTCACAAAGACGGGAGCTCGCCTTTCTGATTTCTCAAGAGATTCTTGAAGCAAGTACCGCCTTCACATGCAGGTCCAGGTGAGCTTCGCCCTCCGCTTTCTTTACTAGTGACAGAGAGGGCTTGGGTGGAATCCGTTCTTTCCGTCCCCTGGGCCTGCACAGCCTACTCCAGACACTCCCCACCTGTGGCCGCGCAGCACTCGAAAGGTGACTGGTCTGACTGGAGCTGTGCTTGGACACACACCGGGTTTCGGAGACATAGTACACAATGAGTAAAACAGCCATTACTTTTTTTTTTTTTTTTTTTATGAGCGCGTTTTTTTTTTTTATGAGAGAGAGATTTTCACTATAGGGTACATGCACTCACCAGAGAGAAAGAGACAAAAAGCGAAACCCCCCCCGAGGGGATGGCCACTCCACAATCCCTTCTCCACCGTTTTCTTCTCGGTATCTTGGACAGGCATATGAACACTCCTGGTGTCCTGGGTTGGGGCTCACACTACGGTCAATGAGTCCAGCAACATAACTGTTAGCGCCATCTGCTGGTCCCATCCATTACTGTGTTTCTATTTATTATATATTGAAACGATATTTTGACTATATTGAGTTACTTGGGATATACAGTCATTGCTTGGTATCCACAGGAGAACTCCCCTCACTCCCAGACCAAATTCCACAGACGCTCGAGTCTTACATAAAATGCTTTAGTATTTGCATATAACCTATATACATCCTCCTATATACTGTATTTTTTTGAGACAGAGAGGGTCCTTTTTTTTTTTTGCTATAGGGTGCATGCACTCACTGGAGAGACGGAGAAAATGAGAAATCACCTCCCAGGGGGATGACCATGCCGCAGTCCCTTCTTCCTTCTCCTCTTGGGATTTTGGGCATGCACGCACATATACTTAGTGTGAGTCTTTTTGTTTGGTTTTGTTTTTGTTTTTGTTTTGTTTTTGTTTTTGTTTTAGAAGTTTTTGCTGTAGGGTATGTGTGCTTGCCAGAAAGCCAGAGAGAGACGGAGAGACAGAAAGCGAGAAATCATCCCCCCGGGGGGGGGGGGGGGGCTTCAGGTCTTCTCCATTCTCCTCCCGGGATCTTGGGCGCACACGTGCCCAGCATGAGTTTAAGCCACTGGGTCTGGGACTCGAACCGTGGTCGACTACATGGGAGTCCAGCGACATAGCCATTACACTAACTGCTGGTCCCCCTAGCGTGAGTTTTAAGCTGGTGGGTCCAGGACTCAAACTGCGGTTGATTACATGGGAGTCCAGCAGCGTAACCATTACACCATCTGCTGGTTCCTGTGTACTGTGAATCGACTGGAGACTACTTATACCTTGTACGGTGTAAGTGCTCCGTAGACAGTTGTGATGCCGTGTTGTTTAGAGAGTGAGGACAAGGAGAAAAGCCTGCGCTTGTCTAGTACAGATGCGAGCATCGTAGTCCCAGCTACCAGCACACGCTACGAGCGACAGGATGTTTCCCAGCCAAAGGCACAGACTCTGCCAGCTGTATTAAACTCGATTTCACCTGTTTCTTTCTCTAAGCACTTATTTATTGTGATTTTTTTTTTCTGATCATTTAACTTTATTTTAATTTGAACAGAAAGGAACAGAGTAAGAGAGAGACAGAGAGAAAATGAGAAAGCGTGAGAGCAAACCGCCAGTTCTGGGACCCAAACCGTGGTCAGCCAAGTGGGAGTCCAGTGCCCTTAATCACTACCTGCCGGCCCCTATTGTGATTTTCATTCAAGCTACCAAGTCTAGGACTTGAACTGCTGTCAGCTGTGTGGGATTCCAGTGCCTTAACTACCATGCTACCTGCTGGTCTTGTTCTTTCTTTTAACTGCCAGAGGACGCTCACCAAAGAGAGCGAGCAGGAGCCCCTTCAGCAGGGCATGCTCACACCACTGCCCTTTTCCCTCCTTTCTCCATCCTGTGGTATCTGGTTCCCAGTGCACAGCGCTTAACCCTGTGCTACAGGGCCGGCCCTCACCTGTTTCTTTGTTTTTGTTTTTAAAATTTTTATTTATTATTTATTTTTTGGAGGGGTTTTTGCTATAGGGTGTGTGCGCTCGCCAGAGAGACAGAGAGAGATAGAGAGACAGAAAGTGAGAAATCACCCCCGAGGGTGAATGCCCACACCACAGTCCCTTCTCCTCCATTCTGCTCTCGGGATCTTGGGGCCGCACGCACACGCGCCCGGTGTGAATTTTAAACCACCAGGTCCGGGACGCGAACTGCGGTCAACTATGTGGGAGTCCAGCGACATAGCCATTACGCTAACTACTGATCCCAAGACTGCAGCTTTTTTAAGCTTGTTTCCTCACTAAACAGATAAACTAAGCAAATAGGAAACTAACAAAAAACACTTAGGAGCAAGGTGGAACTTTCCAGCCTGCTGCTCTTCCTCGGGCACTGTTCTGAAGAAGAGTCCATTACTGTTTATCTTCATCTTCTGGGGAAGCCCTGAGGGATAGCTTTAAGACAGGCAGGACTGGTCTAGCAGTTATGAGCTGTTCAGGAGAAGCTGGATCCCACACGTAACGCAGTTCAAAGCCCCAATCGGCCTGAGACACACCTGGCACACGTAAGTGACCAAGATCCGTTGGACTGGAGGAAGAGGACTAGGAGTGTGACCAGACCCTGTGGGAAGTGTCCCCCCCATGTGTGCCTGTGCATACCATCACGAATAGAGACAAGGGCAAGGGCTGGCCCCATGGCTTGGTGGTTTAGGAGTCTGGATCCAAGCAAGGGCTGGCTTGCTGCGGTTTGATCCAGCCTGAGCCAAGGAACGCTAGGTACATGCGTGTGCCTAAAATCCCGACAGGATGGAGAGGTGACGGGAGATTGTAGCTTGACTATACCCAATTGGGGGGCTGGGGTTGCGCTCTGCTCTTCCCTCACTCTGGCAAGTTTGTGTGGGCTCTGGCAAAAAAAAAAACAAAACACCTTCCCACAGAGAGGCCAGCTGGGCAGCCCTGTTGGGTTCCCCCATTTAGACTTGTCCAAGACGGCCGGGATTCTGGAGTTGGTGCCCTGGTTAGCCTGGCTGTGGCCTGGCTGTCCTGTGAGGCGTTTCTGCTGTGGACCGGATGCATTCTGTCTACGCCCTGTGGCTGGGCCTAGGACTGATCCCAGCTCTGCTACTCTGCCTCAGGCTGTTGTGATGATGGAGGCGGTCTCTGAGATTTCTTTTCTTTGTTTGTGGACCGTGGCTAATCCTCATAAGCGTCTTGAGAGACTTCAGGAGGAAGAATGTCTGGCAGAGGCCGGAACATCCCTGGAATAGGCGTTGGCTTCTGTTTTTTAGCTGGGCTTGGACCGGGAGATGAAAACTGGGAGGTCCCTGTCGTGCTGTTATACGAATGTCCCCTTCTCGCAGGAAAGTCCCACCTGGCCATCGTGCAGAGGGTGAACAACGAGGGCGAAGGGGACCCCTTCTACGAGGTGCTGGGCCTGGTCACCCTGGAGGACGTCATCGAGGAGATCATCAAGTCCGAGATCCTGGACGAGTCTGAAGACTACCGTGCGTGTTGCCTCCTGGCGGTTTTCTGTCTGCGTGGGGCTCCGGCTGCGGAGCCTGGCTGGAGCCCACTCACCCCTGCTCAGGGTGTGCTCGGCGTGGGGCTCACGCTTGTACTTTGTGCGGTGTAGCCCATTGTATCGGTGGCCTCGCGGTGCCTGGGCTTGCTTGCGGCCCATCAGCAGGTGGACCCGATGCTCTCCATCCGGGAGCAAGTTCCTCGCCCTTCGTGGGCCTTTCCCATCTGCCTTCCCTGGGGCCGTTGCTTCTGCAAGGTCTTTTGCATGGTCCAGACACATCTCCATCCTTGACTACCGAGAGGGTCTGGTAGCAGCAGTGAGTCCTGGCCCTGGGGGGCGGCCCCAGTCTGCAGTGCAGATACAGCCCGTGCTCGCCGGCTGAGGCCTCCCACCTGAGCCGCCCACCCTGGTGTGTTACGAGTCACCACACCTGCACCTCTGTCCCCAAGTGCAGCATCTGGGCTTTGATCGCTGAGACCACTGTGGGCACGGGGTTGCCAGGCTAGCTGCTGCTGCCCCACCGTAATGACCAGATGCACACTCTCCAGCCAGGCCTCTTAATGGCCAGGGAGGCGTGTTCTCTAAAGATCACCGTTTTCTTCACCCAGTTCCAAGGCAGGCAAGGCCCTTCGGCACTTCTCGGGGCGTGTCTGGAATGTGGGCCACTGTGGTACCAGGACAGAGGTGGTGGGAATGACAGCCGGGGCCGTCAAGGGAGTGCTGCCAGGGATGTGTCCTCGGGGGCTCGGGTGCTGTCTCCCCCCGAGAACCCCCAGGCCTTGAGGAAGGAGCACGGAGCATGGCCCTTGGTTTGGTCGTGATGGTTGGGCAGTGGCTGCAGCCTAAGCACGCCATCTCCTCACCTCAGGAGACGCCATGGTGAGGAAGAAGCCTGCTTCCCTGAGCGCCCCTCCCAAGCGCAAGGAGGAATTCTCCTTGTTCAAGGTGTCGGACGATGAATATAAAGTGAAACTCTCGCCTCAGCTGCTCTTGGCCACCCAGCGCTTCCTTTCCCGAGGTGAGGTGTGGGCCGTCCTTGCTCACTGTTCAGTGGGTCCGGGGTCACCTGAGACTGGCTCTGCTGTGCCAGGTGGCCGAGAGAGGCCCCGGCCAGGCAGGCATGGCCCGCACCACCCAGCCCCCCGGTGCTGGCTGTGGAGGCTCGGCAGCTCCCGGCCCTGGGGAGAGCACGGTGGGCAGCAGCATCCGTTTTTGTTACCCACGCCGTCCTGGCCTTGGTGGACACTCTCCCTTTTCCCCTAAACTGCGGGGCAGAGGTGGATGTCTTCAGCCCGCTGCGGATCTCCGAGAAGGTGCTGCTGCACCTGCTGAAGCACCCCAGCGTCAACCAGGAAGTGAGGTTTGACGAGCGCGACCGCCTGGCAGCGCACCACTACCTGTACCAGCGCAGCCAGCCTGCCGACTACTTCATCCTCGTCCTGCAGGTGCCTGCGGGGCCCCGGCCTGGGAGAAGAGGCAGGCCAGGCACATGCAGATAGCCTCTCCCCTTGAGTCATTGGGTTGCTGGTTTCTTCTTGAGCTTTCTTCGGAAGGAAAGATAATTCATCCACACCTCTCTCCCTGCCCCTCGTCCCTCCCAGGGCAGGGTCGAGGTGGAGATCGGGAAGGAGGGCCTGAAGTTCGAGAACGGGGCCTTCACCTACTATGGAGTGTCTGCCCTGACGGCGCCGTCTTCAGGTAAGCCGCGGCCTCTGCTGGAGCTGCCACTCCTCTCAGGTGGCTTCTCGGGCTGGGGCTGTGGGAGTTGGGGGGACTTCTTGCTCTGCTCCGTCATTCAGTCCTGTCTGCACAGTCTTCCCCAGGTGTGTCCGCCATCCTCCTCCAGGTTCTACCCACATGCTGTCAGGAGCGGTTGTGGGGTGGATCTCAGAGTCCGTGCCGTGGTCCCCCCAGGGCGGGGCTCCCGGCCCCTGGTGCTGATTTCTGCCATCACTGTTGTTGCTTTTGACAGTTCACCAGTCCCCAGTGTCCTCGCTCCAGCCCACCCGCCACGACCTGCAGCCCGAGCCAGCCGATGGCACCCGCTCGTCCACGTACTGTCCTGACTACACCGTGAGGGCCCTCTCTGACCTGCAGCTCATTAAGGTGACCGCCTGGGCTGACCGTTGATGCTGGCTCTAACTGGCTTTGTGTCCTCAAGGGGCTCCATGCGCTGGTTGCAAGTTTGCTTAGACGGAGAGCAGACCCTGGTGGATGCTCTCCAAGGCCGGCCAGTGTAAGGCCCTCTGCTTGCCCTGGAGGATGGCGGCCCCAGCTCCTGGGTGGTCCCTGACCACTGGTGGTCTGGTCCTGTCTCCAGGCCTCCACACCAGTGTCTACTTGAGGTCTTAGAAACACTTGGTTCTGTTGCTTTCCTCTGCCCTCAGCTAGCGTAGCGTTGCTCCTTGGTCCCCTCTAGTTCAGGTGTGGGCCGGCAGAAGGGCGTGGGCCTGACCTCTCCTGCCTCAGCTGCATCTCACTCCCAGATGCATTGCTGGGTAATGCTGTCTGTCCTGCAGGTCACACGGCTGCAGTACCTCAATGCACTCCTGGCCACCCGGGCCCAGAACCTGCCGCAGTCCCCTGAGAGCATCGATCTCCAGGTCATCCCAGGCAGCCAGACCAGGCTCCTCGGGGAGAAGACTGCTGGGGCAGCAGGTGAGCCCGCATGGACGTCCTGTGGGGTCTGGACTCGGAGGACGTGTGAGCTCCTTCAGGCCTCGTCTCCTGTCCCTGCCTGCCCTCATTCTTTCTCCGTCCTGCCTGTCCTTTTCCCTCCTTGATGTTCTCAGTGGGTTGGATGACATCCGGCTATTGACGGACTGGCATTGAAAGCACATTGACCCAGCCGTGGTAGCGTGCTGGTGAGGCCGTGCGGGAGCCCCAGCTCGTTTTCCCCACCCTGAAAGCCAGGTGGGTGGCACATGCTGATAGTCACAGCTACTCTGGAGGCAGAGGCAGGAGGGTCACAGTGTAGTGAGATCCTGTCTAAAAACAATTAATTTTAGCAATTATTTTATTTACTTTATTTATTATCATTTTTTAATTTGACCAGAGAGAGAGAAAGTACTGCCAGGTCTGGGACATGAACTTCAGTCAGCCATGTAGGAGTCCAGCACCTTAAGTATCACAGCACCTCCCAGGCCTGTAAAATTGTTTTAGAATTATTTTTAATTTAATTTAACTAACTTATTTATTTACTTACTTACTTAGAACCAGAGAGGCATAGAGAGGGGTGGGGGCGGAAAAAAGCAAGCCACCAGGTCCAGGACTTGAACCATGGTCAGCCATGTGGGGAATCCAGTGCCCTTAATCACCACGCCACCTGCCAGCCCTCCAAATTTTTAAATAGAGTATATTAAGTCATCATTTTCTCTCCAGGGCTTCTTAGAATGGGTTGACTTGATTAGGTGATAGTTCATGAAAATAAGTTCTAGTTGAGACCGTCTTCTGGCCATTTAGGATTCGGGCTAGGTCACTTGGAAAGCGAAGATTTGGGTCACCAGCAGGCCCAGCTCAGATGGTAGATGGCTGGCGGGCACCATCCCCGAAACTGAAGGGTGCTTGCTGAGAGTTTGGTCTGTTCACGTGGTTAGTTAATCAGGTGGTAGTTAGTTTTGCTCTAGGGCGTGCATACTTGCCGGAGAAAGAAAGAGGAAGTGAGAAATGACCCTGAGCCCCCTGATGGCCATGCTACGGTGCTTTCTCCTCTGTTCTCCTGGGATCTTGGGCACACACGTGGGCTCAGTGTGTTTCTCAAGCTGCTGGGTCCAGGATTCGAACTACTTAGCCCCATGGGATCCGGCCACCTTAACTGCTGTGCCACCTGCTGGCTCCGTGTTGATGTTTAAGGCATATCCTGTCAAAGGGCTCCATTGGCAGGAAGATCATGCTGGAAGAGACTGGCTATGCTGTGGGCGGGGAGCCAGGGGAGGCGGCTGGCATACCTGTCCCTGTGGTATGTGAAGTCCAAGTGCAGACTGGGGGTTGGAGCGGGGAGTCAGGACACGCTCTTGTTTTTCAAGAAGGTGCTTTTATTCTGTTGAGCTCTTTGGTTGAGGTCAGATGCCAGGGCTTGAGATTCCTGGAGGAGCCAGGGGGGCTTCCGGAGAGGCTGCAGCCATACCTGCAGCTGCCTGCCCTGTTCCTCCCTCTCCACCTCGCAGGGAGGAAGATGCGCTCTTACTGAACGATCACTCTGCCAGGCAGTGCGCTTAGGGCCTTCCTGAACTCGGCTACCCTCCCACTGGTTATAGGAGAGGGCAGTTTACAGGTGATGCCGGGGAGTCACAGAAGGCCTGGCACTTTTTTTGTTTTTAATTTAATTTACTTATGATGATGGTTATTTAATTCGCTACAGGCCGTGTGCACTCATCGGGAGGGGTAGGAGAAAGTGAGAAAGCAAGCCACCAGGTCTGGGACTCAAACTGCAGATTGGCCATATGGGAGTCCAGCCCCTTAACCACAACACCACCTGCTGGCCATGGGCCCAGCACTTTGTTTTGTTTTGTTTTGTTTTTTTAATATATGAGCAGTTATTTAATTAGGTTCTTGGCAAAAAATTTAGAACACCAATTTGTGAGAATAGACTCCATTTGTGAGGGCAAACACGGATCGCAGGTAGCCCTGGAGCTGAGGAACAGTTTTGGTTTCTGGTAAAATGTGCGAGTCCACAGCTTCCTGATCAATCTCGCACTGCTCTGAAATCTCGTATTTCTCCTTCTCTGTGTCGAAGATCTCACCTTCCTGGTATCTGGGCTTCCGCCATTTTTCTTGAAGTAAGCGTCGGTAAGGGGCTTTGGGATTTTTCCTTTGCTAATATCAATTTTCGTGGAGGTGGCAATGACAAGTTTCTGGTGTGTTCTACGCAGTGGAACTCGATTGAGAACCAGCAGTCAGGTCACAAGTAGCAGCCACTGCTCAGCTGCTTCAGGAAAACCACCCTCTTGCCTCTGTGGCATCCAGTGAGGATGATCGGAATGGTCCCAGGAGTGATGCTGCTCACAGCTCTCTCACATGCTGACTGGAGGGTTTTTTGCTGTGGTTCAACAGCTTCCAAGGCACACCTTCAGGAGGATAATACCTAGGCAATTTGTGCAGTTTAACCACCCGGGTACCACCACTCTTGTCTCCACCAACTGGTTTCGTGACAGTCCCAAGAACCTTCTCCTCCTTTTCCTTTTCGATCCTGGATTTAGGGGCCGAGTATTTCCTCTTGTACGCGGCCTTCCTGGAATACATGGCCGACCAGGAGTGTCTGCCGATGCCCCGGACTAGGATGGGGTTTTGGCTGCAATGGGGCTTCCCCTCCTTGGGCCTTTTAACCTTGGGGTCACCCTTTTTAACCTGGCCACTGGCATCAGCCTTCTTGGCTTCAGGTTTCTTCTCCTTAGTATCCTGCTTTGCAGCTTTTCTACCCGCCATCTTGTATGGTGGGGAAGAAATGGCCCAGCACTTTGACTTGGTGCCCCGGAGCCTCACAGGGAACAGCTGTGTTTCCTCAAACCCACACTTGATAGCGCAAACATATTTTCATAATTGAAGAGTCCTTTCTGAATTGAAAGGTGACGGTCAGGTGCAAGGAACAGAGAACCCTCCCCCCAGGCATGTTAATGGCCCTGCGCCTGTGGGCTCCAGCTCTGGGTGCTGGTCAAAGGGCACAGCAGCTGCGTCTCTCGAGTCCTGGGTGCGGGCGTGGCTGCATACACCCCACAGGAGTGACGCTGTGCTGGTGGCACTGTAGCTCTTGGGTGGTTAAGCCTGTGTTCCCTCACTGTGACGTGTGATTTTATGGGGTGCCCCCCCACACACCCCATACAGAAGTTCACACTGTCTCATTAGACGTGGCTCTCAGAGCCAGGATGTTTTAGTTTGTTAAAATAAGAGTCTTTTGGGACCAGCAGATGGAGTAATGGTTACGCCACTAGACTCCCACATGGTCGACTGTGGTTCAAGTCCCAGACCCGGCAGCTTAAAACTCACTCTGGGTTTCTATGTGTGTGTGCCAAAAATCCTGAGGGGAGAATGGAGGAGAAGGGATTGTGGTGTAGCCATCCTTACCGGGGGAGGTGATTTCTCATTTTCTGTCTCTTTGTCTCTCGCTGTGGTGAGTGCACACACCCTATAGCACAAATCTCTTAGGGAAAAAAATGCACACACACACACACACACACACACACACACATCTTTCAGTCTTAGTTCTCCCACCTGAGGGCCTTTTCTTGCTCTGTATGCTGCTCTTACTACACCTGTTATGCCCAAGGCGTGGACCTAGTCCAGAATGATGGTCCTGCCTCCACTGCGTCTTTTATCTCGTGCCAAGATTTTGAAAATCCTCTCTTGGCTTCAGCCAGTCACTGGGCTGTCCTGTGAGAGGGTGAATGATGGGGGCTTCAAGGTCATTTTCTCTTTGTAATGGGTGGTTAACTAGTCTGTGGACATAATGTTGGTTAGTTGCACCCACGTGCAGTCTGACACTTGCCCCCAGGGAGGTTTGTCTTTCAAGCTTCTTGCCTAAACTCTCTGGGGCCTTCTTGGGGTTGCCCTGTCAGCCCCTTCACCATCCACAAGAGCTAGTGTCGCTGCACACAGGGAGATTTCAGTGGAGTGGGAGCTGCTGAAGTAGGGCAGGTGAGACCGACTCCCTGGAGATAAGGTTCTCAATCCCCAGCAGAGAAGAGCCTTGATTGAAATTCCAGAGGCATGAGCATTTAAAAAAATTTTTTTAGAATTATTTTATTTAACTTTATTTATTTATTTAAATTTGACCAGAGAAAGGGAGAGAGGGAAAGTGAGAAAAGCAAGCCACCAGCTCCAGGACTCTAACCATGGTTGGCAATGTGGGAGTCCAGCGCCTTTAACCATCATGCCACCTGCCAGCCCCGGCATGAGCATTTCCAACTGGTACAAGGGCCATATCTGGCTGGTTGCCTGTTTTTGTAAATAAAGTTTTATTGACACTCACCCATTTGTTTATGATTGGATCGGGCTGCCTTTGAGCTGTGCCAGCAGGGTTGAGTTGTGGCAGAGGCAGAATGAATTGTAACACCGACAGATACCGGCCCTCGACAGAAAGCTTCCTGACCCTGGCCTACCAGTTCCAATTCTGGGGTCCGAATCTGAACGTCAGGTGCACAGAGCTGCATTTCCAAGCCAGTCTGTGCTGCCTGCCTGCCTGCCTGCCTGCCTGCCTGCCTCGGGTGCTGAGCTGCGGGACACAAAGGGCCGGGCCTGTGCAGGGCCCACTCAGCTCAGTAGCGCATCTCCTCTCTCTCTCTCTCTCTCTGTCTCTCTCTGTCTCTCCTCTCTAGCCTTCCCAGTAAACTTTTCCCTCTTTGGCACATTTGGAAACTGCAGTTGATAAATGACTGTGGACTAGTGAGCATTTTTGTTTTAAAAAAACGCCAAGGTAAATACCTTCCTTTTCCTTCTCCTCGGCTTCCCTCTCCCAGCCCTTCAGCTCCCCAGACGGGGAGGTGTTCCTCGCGGTGTGGGAGTGGCACCGAGCTCTCCCTGGAGGTGGGTTGTGCCGTACGTGGCCTTGGACAGAAGGCTGCCTCCCAGCATGGGGCACTCTTGTCCAGGGCAGGTACCTCTTGACTGCCCTCATGACTGGGCCCTCCAGGCTCAGAAATCCACAGTCCCTGCTGTTCCTGTCTCTCAGGGATGGCATCTGTCCTCAGAGGTACGCACTCTTGGGAGGCTGAGCTAGGCTGGCCGTTGTCCGGCTCATCACTGCCAGCTCTGCCCTGCCGCCTCCTGAAGTCTCCAGAGGCCCTCCTGCTTCACCCCGTCCCTGCCGAGGGGGGTTCATGCTGGGCTTTGATGGGACCGCCGCCTTTCCAGCCCTGGTAATTCTCCTTTCCCTCTCTCCTCTAGGGTCCAGCCACAGCAGGCCCGGCTTCCCAGTGGAAGAGAGCCCGGGGCGAAACCCAGGAGTTTGACTCTTGCGAGGCAGCTCCAGATCTGGGGATCGGACAAGTACGTGGGGAGCCGGAGCAAGCCAAGCAGTCCCCGCCCCTCCAGACCACGTTTTAGATGGTCTTACAGATGTGGGTCCTGGGCTGCCTCCGACCCAGGCGGCAGTGCCAGGGGTCTGCAGCAGGCCCTGCCCTCCTTTAGGAAATGGGGGTCAGCCAGGACACAGCCCTCCAGGCCTGCTTCGGGAAGGCACGAGAGGAGTGTCATCATCCGTCGTCCCCTTCCCCCCTCCCAAGGCAGTGACAGTGCAGGGTCCTATACCTCTCTGGGCCTCGCCAGGATGTGAGTGCTCAGTCACTGCCTTCTGCAGCCATGACCTGTCCTCACTCTGCTTCGAATTTGCCAGCCTCTTGCTGCTGGCAGCACTTTGAGCAAGCCAAGAGCACTAGTCTGGGCCTCGTCCCTGGTGTCGAGGTGACACTTTCTGGCTTCCCTTTCAATGCCGTATTTAACGCATGTGCCCTGGCCTTCCCCAGGTGCCAAACCCCAGGGCACTGTGGCCCGTGCGTCTGTCCCTCCAGTCCCGCTCCCTCCTATGGAGGCTGCTCTTTGGAGCCCTGGGCCGGTGAGCTGGCTCCTGCCAGCACCGCCCAGGGAACCCACGCTCTGCTTCTCTGCCCGCCGCACCGACTTGCCACGAACAGTACTGCCTCTTCCCATGTTAAGAGGCCACGCGTGGGAGGAAGGGGCCCGTATGCTGCATCTGCTCCTTTACTCTGCTCTCGGGGCAGGTCTGCCGTCTGCTCTGCCCCGTCCTGCCTTCCCACGGGCCCTGGAGGTGGTGTGCAGCTGCAGCATGCTTGGGGAACAGCAGGGGGAGAGGACGCGCACCAGCTGGGTGGATCCTTCCTCTTCTTTAAAAAAACAAAAACAAAAGAAATCAGCGTTTTCCTTATATCCCTGAAACATTTCAAGTTCTTTGCTTATTTTCTGTTCCTAGCCATGGGATTTTAGAGAAGGGGGAATGAGAATGCATCGGTGTTTTTTAATTCACCTGTATTTCCTCAGCTGGGGCATCCCAGGGACAGGATCACAGATTAGGGAGAGAGGAGGGCTTCTGGAGCCTTTCTCAAAAGAGTCTAGGTCCTTATAGATAGGACTGGTGGCCAAAAGAACAGTGGTGCGCTTGCTCAGAAACTGTTCTCAGGGCAAACCCGGGTGGGAAACAGTGAAAATCATCTCACCCTCCAGAACAGCTGTCTTCCCCTCAGCTGCACACACAGCGCCCCTGGTTAATTATCAGTCCGGCAGCCGGGCCACCCCCGGGGTGTCTGGTGTAGTCTGGGCATTGGGGTTTTCTTTTTGAGGTATTTTACAATTCCCCGAAGAGTTCCATATGCCCCTCTCCCAGCTTTCCGAATGCCAACATCTCATGTAGCTTTGGTACCTTCATCAAAACGAGAACATTAATGTTGGTGCAGTACTATTAAATACCGACTCAGACTTTCCCGTTGTTTCCATGAATCCTTTTTGCTTCAGGATCCGGATCCAATCCAGGATACCAAGTTGCACTTAGAGCTATTGCTCCCCCCCCCCTGTATTTTGAAATAATTACAGATTCATAGGAAGTTACAGAGAGGCCCTACACCTTCCCTCTGTCACAGTGGTGACAGCCTACATAGTTACAGTGTAGCATCAGAACAGTGCGGAGCTCTCATTCTGTGTTGCCCCTGTAACCACCTCTGCGGTCCAGATGCCAAACGATCCCACCACAAGGACCTCTCTCGGCCTGTCCCCCCACCATCCCTTGCCACTAATCTGTGCATCTGTGTTACTTTGTCATTTCGAGGATGCTGTATAAATGGAATCGTGGGGCATGTAACTCTTTGGGATTGGCCTTTTTCCCTCCTTGTAACTCTCTGGAGATTCATCGGGCTGTTGCGCAGCCGTAGTTGTTCCTTTCTGTTGCTAAGTGGTATTCCATGGTATACTCAGTGTCCCTTTGAAGGACATCTGGGCTGTTCCCAGTTTTTGGCTATTCCAAATAAAGCTGCCACGAACATCTGTGTACGGATTTCATACGATGGCAGGTTTCTGTGCAAAGAATTTTTTCCTCTAGGGTAAATGCCAGGAGTGCAATTCCTAGGTCATACGGTCATTGCATGTTTGGTTTTTAAAGAAAAGTGTCACACTTTTTCTGAGTGACTTACAGTTTTACGTTTTCACTCGCAAAGTAGGGGTGATCTAATTTCTCCAAGAACTCACCAGCATTTGGTGGTGTCACTTATTTTTTAATTCATCCTTTTTTTTTTTAATTTTTTTTTTGTTTTTAGAATTACTTTATTTAACTTACTTTCTCTCTTTCTTTATTTTACTTTGACCAGAGGGACAGAGTGAGAGAGAGAAAGTGAAAAAGCAAGCCACCAGGTCTGGGATTCAAACTGAGGTCTACCATGTGGGAGCCCAGTGCCCATAACCACCACGCTTTAACTACCTGCCCGCCCAGTTCATTCTTCTGATGGTTGTGTAGTGATACCTCATTGTGGTTTTCATTTGCATTTCCCTAGTAGCCGAGGAGGACCATCTCTTTGTATTTTCACTTTGGTTTATATTTTCATCTACTTAATAGGCTTCTCTTTTGTTGAGAAATTTTTGCTGCAGGGTGTGTGTGCTCCCTGGGGATACAGAAAGCAAGAACTCACCACCTAGGGGCAGGGGGATGCCATGCTGCAATCCTTTCTCTTGTTCTTTAGGGATCTGGGGCACTCATGCACACATACCTGGTGTGCATTTCAAGCAGCCAAGTCTGGGACTCAAACTGGTCAGTCATATGAGAGTCCAGCAGCTTAACCACCATACCACCTGCTGGTGCCTTGATAGGCTCACTTTTTTTTTTTTTTTTAAAAAAAATTTTTGCTATAGGTTGTGTGCACTCGCCAGAGAGACAGAAAGTGAGAAATCACCCCCCAGGAGGGATAGCCACGCCACAATCCCTTCTTCATTCTCTTCTCGGGATCTTGGGCACATGTGCCTGGTGTAAGTTTCAAGTCTGGGACTCAAACTGCAGTCAACCTTGTGGGAGTCTCATAACCATTATACCATCTGCTGGTCCCAGTTGGCTTTTTTTTTTTTTTTTAATAGTTTTTTTTTTTTTTTTTGGGTGGGTTTTTGCTTTGTGAGAAATCACCCCCCAGAGGGGATGGTCACGCCGCAATCCCTTCTCCTCCATTCTCCTCTCGGGATCTTGGGCACGCACGCACACGCGCCCGGCGTGAGTTTTAAGCCACCGGGTCCGGGACGCAAACTGCAGTCGACTACGTGGGAGTCCAGCGACATAGCCATTATGTTAACTGCTGGTTCCCAAATAGAGATGTTTTTGCTATAGGGCACATGCACTCACCAGAGAGACAGAGACAGAAAGCAAGAAATTACCCCCTAGGGGAGATGGCCACGCTGCAATCCCTTCTCCATTCTCTTAGGAACAAGTGCACATTTCTAGCGTGGGTTTTAAGCTGCCTGGTCTGGGACTTGAACCGTGGTTGACTACGTGGAAGTCTAGTGACATAACCATTACACTATCTGTTGGTCCCCCAATAGGCTCTTAATTGAAACAAAAGTTTTTACTTTTGATGAAGTGCACTTTACAGATTTTTCTTTTATGGATTATACTTTTAGCATCACATCTAAGAACTCTTGAGTCATAAACCCTGAAGATTGTCATGTCTCTTTTTTAAGTTTGTAATCCACTTTGAATTTGTTTTTGAATAAGTTAGAAGACTTAGGTCTGAATTTTTTTTTTTTAATTAAAACCTATTGCTCCATCACCATTGATTGAAAATACCGTCTTCCTCCACTGAATTGCTCTTGGACCTTTGACAGGTCAGTTGGGCGTATTTGTGTGACGGTTTCTGGGTTGTCTGCTGTTCCGTTATCTGTATATGTGTTGTCAGGACTACACTTTCTTGATTACCTAGAGTAAGTGTTGAAATTGGACTGATTATCGACCCTCTATTCTTTTTCAAAGTTGTTTTAGCTATAAATGTTCTTGTGAATTTTAGAATAACTGGTGCATCTACAAACAGCTGCAGGTATTTGATAGGAAATGGTAAGCCTGCATATTAATTTGGGAAGAACTAAAATCTTTACTATATATTGTGACTTCCAGTCCACAAACATGGTATGTCTTTATTTAAATCTTTGATTTCATGCATTAGTGTTTTGTGGTTTGCAGCAAATCCTTACATGTTGTTAGATTTAAGACCTAAGTATTTCATATCTTGAAGAAATGATTGTAGGGACCAGCAGATGGTGTAATGGTTACATCGCTGGACTCCTACGTAATCCACACAGCAGCTTAAAACCCACACTGGACATGTTTGTGTGCGTGCCCAAAATCCTGAGAGGAGAATGGGAGAGAAGGGATTGCGGCATGGCCATCTCCTTGGGGGTGAATTCCCACTTCCTGTTTTTCTCTCTCCGAGGAGTGTACATACCCTATAACAAAAGTCTCTTTTAAAAATAAGAGATTGTCGGGACCAGCAGTTAGCATAATGGCTATGTCGCTGGACTCCCATGTAGTCGACCGCAGTTCACGTCCTGGACCCGGTGGCTTAAAACTCAATGCCAGAGGTGTGTGCCCAAGATCCCAAGAAGAGAATGGAGAAGGGATTGCAGCATGGCCATCCACCCTGGGGGATGATTTCTCGCTATCTCTGTCTGGCGAGCGCATGCGCCCTATAGCAGAAAAAAAAAACCTCTCCCCCCCAAAAATAAGAGATTGTAAATGGTATTGTAATTTTTCTTTCTTGGAGAGGGTTTTGCTATAGAGCACATACACTCATCAGAAAGAGACAGAAAGCGAGAAATAACGGGGGAATGGCCACGCCACAATCCCTTTTCCATTCTCTCAGGATCTTGGGCATGCACACACGTGCCTGGTGTGAGTTTAGGCCACTGGGTCCAGGACTTGAACCACAGTCAACTACATGGGAGCCCAGTGACATAGCCATTATGTCAACTGCTGGTCTCTGTATTTTTAATTTTCATGTCCATGTGTTCATTGATAGGTCATAATAGATTTCTGTATGTCTGTCTGGTATCCTGAGAGTTTGTACTGTATTTTAGGTGGCATTTTGGTTTTTGTAGATTCCTTAGGACACTCTCCATGGATAGAGATAAGCGTGTCTGTGTGAGCTTGCTGGTACGGGGCTCCTATCTTCAGGGATTCTGCCTTGGTCTAGACATGAGGACCTTTTTCGCCAGAGGTGTGTGTTTTTGTTGTTGTGTTTTGCCTTAGGGCATGTGCGCCCGCTAGAGAGACAGAGACATAGGGAAAATGAGAAATCACCCTCCCTCCCCCTGGGGGGATGGCCATGCTGCGATCTATTCTCCCAGGATCCTTGGCATGCATGCACACATGCCTGAAGTGTTGCAAGCTACCAGGTCTGGGACTCCCATGCGGTTGGCCACGTGGGAGTCCAGCGATGCGACCTTCACACCATCTGCTGGCTCCTGACATGTGGACTTGTTACACCTGCCCTGATGACTCTAATAAGCAAGAGGGGTCGAGAGCCGGCGCTCTGCTTGTCCATCAGCGAGCAGCGATGCCTTGAGCACATGAGCGTGTGCTGGGACCTCACGCCGCCCACCGGGCACTGGGCGGCCCGCTGCTGTCCCGGTGGGCAGGTTAACAGTCTTGAGCTCTGTGCTGAGGGTATGGCCATAGGCTTAACTAGGCAGTCCCTGGTGCCCCCTGTACCAGAAAAGACAACTGGGCTGTGGACAGTCAACCAGTTTAATTAACATAAATTACTGATCCATATAAAAAGGTATTTTTGTCACTTCAGTATCCTCCATTTGTAGATGAGGTGTCTGCGTAGTCTTGAATGCCTGTCACCCATGGCACTAGTGTCTGGGTGCACACTGGCCCTGCCACCACGGGATAGGAGCTGCCCGTGGAAGGGGGTGTGGAGCATTGGTCAGCATTTTCAGGTAGGAACAGTAGCCTCGTTCTTGGCCTGAGAAGGCCGCCAGGGTTGGACTAAACAGAACTGTTGCACAGTAGGTGTCAACCCAGCGACCTCCTCCGACTCGGGGGCCATAGGGGAGGCTGAGCTCCATCGTGGAGCCCTCCCCTCCGCCAGTGGTGCTCGGTATGGGGCAGCACTCTCCCGGATCAGCTTCCTGGCATGTGAGGGCCCAGCCCCGCCAGTACAGTGTCAGTGAAACATGAGCCATCAAGAACAGTGAAGAGGGGTCTTCAGGGAGCCTGTATGAAGCCAGTGAGGGGGGAGGGGCAGTGTGCCCCTGGCCGTCCCCTGCCGTCCCTGTGGGCGAGTTCCGAGCTGCTCAGTGTCCGAGCCTCTGCGGTGGGATTGTGCAGCTGCAGGGTCTAGGCAAGAAAGCAGGCTCCAGAACAGGGGACATGAGAGCCTCAGGCAAACGAGGGTTACGGGCCACCGCCTCAAGAGTTGAGTGGGCCACAAGTAATCCCAGCACCCAGGCATGAGTCCCCTGCAGGAGCCTGCAGCCGCTGACCAGAACCTTCAGAGTGGGCACAGGTTTTCCCTGGTCGCCCTGCTTAACAGCCTTGGGGCTTCTGAGGCAACCAGGTTGGTCCTGGCCTTCTACGTGTGGGGCCTCAAACCTGTTGAGAGCCCCCGCAGATGGCCAGAACCCACCTCCAGAATCCTTCAGACTGAAGTCTAGAGCTGCTCCAGATGCTATCAGGGTTGCTGCTGATAGAATGGAGTCCCGGGGAAACCCCCGCCCAAGGCACCAGCTGCTGCACAGAGCCTGGACCAGTGTGGCCTCCTGTGGGCCTGATGGCAGCTGCTGGCTGTGAAGCTGAGCCACCGCCTGCAGGAGATGGCCCTGCGGCAGGACTGAGGCCCGCAGACGCCGAGCTGCTGCAGCACAGCCCAATCACTGCCCTGGCCCCGGCTCCCACACCACCCCCGGCCCCACTTCGCTTTTCCTGCCCGTGGTCCTCTGCCCCAGTCCCAGCCCCCGTCGCAGCGGGGAAGGAGGTGCCCAACCCTTGAAGGCAGGGCAGCCTGCGTGCTCTACCCGCCGGCACTGGTGCTGCTTCCCAGGCCCAGCAGGGGTGCCTCAAGGCCTGCAAAAGCAAAGCCCCAGAGGGGAGTCGGACTGAGGGCGAGGACCACGGGGGTGCAGAGGCGTGGGAGGTGAAGGGGTGGAATGGCAGCTGAGTGGCCCCATGGGTCGGTCCGTCCGTCTTCAGCATCGGGTGCGAGGGTGCCCAACGTGGGCCTGCAGTGCTTCTTGGATGCCCCGCTGCCAGTCCCGTGCTAGCTGCACCGGGGTCACAGAGGCCTGGGGACAGGGATGCCAGTCAGTTTTCCGTCCCTTGGGAGCTCCACCCCGCCTTCTCACTGCTGCCAGGCCCTAGCCCCCTCGCACGCACCCCGTTCTTCACGCCCAGCTTCGCTCCGTAGATGAGCAGCAGCTTCATGGCTTTGTAGTGGCCGTGCCGCACAGCCTCATGCAGGGCCGTGTCTCCTTCCTACGGGAAAGGCGAGTCCTACTCAGAAAGGTCGGGGCAGGCTGTCACTGAGCAGGCCACACCTCGGGTCTAGCTTAGGCTCCTCGGGCCCTGCCCCCTGGTGGGGCCGTCTGAGCTGGAAGGACCAAGCACCTACCTTGTCCTGTGCGTCAACGTGGGCCCCACACTCGATGAGGTGCTCCAGGCAGGCAGAGTGCCCCGTGCGCACCGCGACATGTAGGGGGGTGCTCCAAATCTGAGGAACGAGTGGGGAGCGATGCTGGGGCTAGGAGGCCTTGCACCCGAGGGGCCATTTTCCCTCCAGGATGGCAGCCATCCCTGGGTGCCCTTACCTTGTCCCGGGCGTTGACCTGGGCTCCCTGGTTTAGCAAATGTTTGATGATGTCCAGGTGGCCTCCACGGCAGGCCCAGAACATGGGTGTTCTCTCCAGCTGTAAAACAAGCAGCAAAGCACTCTGGCCTGCCGGGATGGCGGGCAGAGCTCTCGTCTGTGAGGAGGACGGGCCTTCCCCGCTCTCACCAAGTCCCGAGCGTCCACAGTGGCTCCTGCCGCCAGCAGCTTGTTCACCAACTGCCCGTGGCCCTTCAGACAGGCCCAGTGCAAGGCCGTGCGGTGGAGCTGGGGGGACAGGAGATCAGGCATAGGCGTGCAGCCACCCCTAGAGGCCGCCCTGGCCCCAGTCGGGGCAGAGCCGCCTGTTCTCCCTCGGGCAGCAGGCCCTTCCCGCCCAGGAGGCTCTGGGGTTCATGCCCATGTGACAAGCCCTGCACTTGTAGGCCAGGGCAGGAGCACCCTGAGACGGCGCTCTGCGGCTGCTGTGAGCCCCTGCACCCTACCCACCCATGCTACCTTGTCATGGGCATTGGGGTCCCCGCCGTCCGTCAGGTACTTGTCGATCAGGGCCTCCTGGTTCTCCGCAGCTGCCTTCAGGAACATCTCCAGGTCCACAGACTCCAGCTGGGCCTGGGGCTGCAGCTGGGTGAGGTGAAGGTCAAGACCAGATCACCCTCCAAGGTGCAGCCCGTGTGCACATCTTCACCAGCCTGGCCCCAGGGACCCCCACGGCCTGGCCCAGCGCGCTGGCCCGCACGGAGACCGTAGACATTGAGGGTCGACTGTGTACCCCGAAGATTCCTGTGCTGGAGTCCGAACTCCCAGCACCTCAGAACATGGCCTGACTCGGGCACCGGGGCCCTGCGGGTGTGACAGGTAAGATGAGGCCATGCTGCAGTAGGAGGGCCCCAACAGTGCGACACACTGAAGTGACCGCAGTTCGGCAGGTCTGGTGTCCTGCAATGTCATTTGGACAGGCTGGCACATGCAGGGAGGGTGCCAAGACGGGCTGAGGATCACCTGCAAGCCGAGGACCCCTGAGAGCACCCGCAACCCCAGAAGCTAGGGCCGTACAGGAGCAGACTGCCTACCCACAGCCTGGCCTGGACTTCAGCCCCCAGGCCTGGGAGGCGATAGTGTCTACTGAAGCTCTTCCTCTGGCTTCGGGCCCCGCATGTGCCTCTCGCCCAACTCCGACTTCTCACTCACCTTCGCCACGGGCTCAGGTTCCTTGGGGGGGACCCTACGTCTCAGTCGCTTTTCTCTCCGTCTTTGAACCAAGTTTTCCAGGTCAGCCAGGCTGTCCAGATTAACTCTGGAACTGTTAAATCTTTCCATCTGGGGCAGAGTAGAGAACCAGACCAGACATTAGCCACTGGCCTGGGAGCCTCGCCGGCCGGCTCTCAGCACGTCTCATTCTCATCTGGTTGGAACCAGGGACACAGACTACGAGGCCCCCAAT